GAGGGGGGTTCCCCGGTGTGAGAGAGGGAGCTCCCGCGCTGGGCCGTCCCGGGGTACCCGCTCTGGGAACAGACGCACACTTTTCCATTTAAAGGCATCGGGAAGTTACAATTCAAGATTAGGCCGAATGTCGGTGTCTTCCGTGTGAGTGGCGCGCCTCGCCCGGCACCGGGGGCGAACCTCGGAGCGGTCTCCTGAGGCGGAGGGGGGCGGCCTGGCGGCGGAGCGCCCTCCTCACAGCGCGCTCCAGCTCGGCCAGAACTCCGGGGAGACTGGGCCCAGGGATTAGTGACTGAAATTCTAGTTTGCGTTGTGCGGCAGATCAAACTTAAGATGATCCTACTTTTAAAAATCACTCTTGAAGAACCACAACAGCAAAAAATAACAGACTGCTCCACTATTGCTGTCACCGCACAGCGGTATTTCAGCGCTGTTCTCAGCCGCGCTGGGTGTGAGGTGGCTTAACGCCCTGAGCTTGTCCTCAGGCACCCCAGCCCGTAACGCTGACAGCCCGAGCCACTCGCTCTTGCCAGTGCCTGAAGGACGGAGTTTACACCGTGGGAGGGTTCTGCTTAGCAAAAATAGGATTTATTGCACCCAGCTTTACAAGTCTGCATCTGAGCTTGTAAGCCAGGCTACAGCAGAATCAATGGAAATAAGGAAATACTGAAATACATTCATCATCTAGATCTATTTAGACAGTGAGATGTGGTAAGCTATAGCTAGGCTTCCTTAACTATAATGAATAGGTCCCCACTGACTGTTCAGGAAGCCCAGCAGGACCAGTTCAGATATGGATGCTGTAGAGGTGGATAAAAAGATTATTTCTTTGGCAATGGCAACAGATTTTGAGGGCAGACACACATGTATCATGCTCCAAGGGAGTCACAGGAGCCATTAGAGAACATTTAAAATCTATTGGTCCCTACGGAGAGGTTCAAGCGTCAAAAATCCAGCAAGTCCTTCAAGGAGGGAAGGTTGAATAGATCTAGGATAGCACAGTAACTAGAAAAGTACGAAAGATAATTAGAATTAAAGCTATGATGGGAGGAGAGAGCCAAACATTAGGGGAAAACAGAAAGCTGTCTGTCATTCCTCACATCCAGAGGAGTTTCAAGCCAGGAAGCTAACCGCTGGCGACAGCTTCTTTTTTCCAAGCTGCCTCTTTCTAGAGACACTTTTAAGGACAGACTAGGAAGTTAACAATATAGAGTTCTTTACTGTAAAGATCCTTTGGAAAGAAAATCCTGAAATACTTAATTCCTAGTTATATTTTTAAAAGACTTCTAGGATTTCAATAAATACTGTAACTGACCAGCCACAGAAGACACCAAAGCAGTTCATATTAATTTATAATATTTTCAGTCTACCAATTAAAATGCTTTGGAAGCTTTTAATTATCTCTGGGAGCTATCTGTAAAAGCTCTAAATAATTGACCTTCCATGTCATGTACCTTTATATTGATAAGAGTTTTTAATCTCTTTTGCTAACCAAAAGAAAAGAAGAATAAGATGACATCTCTGATTGGACATAACTATCATGATTTTGTTTCTTTTTTTAAAACAGGTATTTACTCCCCATAATTATCTAGTAAGCACCAGCCATGAGGAAATACAACTCCAATGTTGTCGGTAGCTGGAAGTGACACTGAGTCTTCAAAGATATGCATTGCATTTCACCTGCTACAAAACATGGATATGTTTATAAGGAGTCAGTTAAGCCTATTTCGTGCAATGAGCTACACAGCGCTGTGAACCTCAGAGCTTATTGCAAGATCAGAGTTTTACAGCAGCAGAATCTACATGCAGACCAAGAGTACTATGAGAAACACAAGATAATATAAAGGCAGTAATATAGTATATAACAGGGATTTGTAATGGAAACATTATAGCTATGTTGTAACACCCATACTGTTCAAAAAAAACCCCAAAGGAAATTGAGAAGTACAGGCTGAAACTCCATTCCTCACTCTGCCTGCAGCCTCACAATTTGGTTAAACCAATTTTGGAACAAGCTGCTGACCATAGTGTTCATTTTGCTCCTCACTTTGCATTCTAGCTCCTTTTGGCTTGCAGGCAACACAGTGAGTCAGAACAGGAAACTGATGCAGCTGAAAACCAAACGGACCAAAAGAAAAGATTGGGTTTTGTCCAGGTCAGTTCCTGATCCAACTCACTGTACAGTTGTACCAGCTAGCAGTGGCACAAGGAGTGCCAAGGGCCGGAGTGGCAGTGGGACCACACCTTCTGGAAACAACCCACTCAAGTCTGCTTAAATGTGTGGAGAAAACACTGTCTTATTCATTGTGAACTACTACAGCATTAGACAAATTAGCAGATATTTTCAGTGGTCTTAGGTATTGCTTTTCTCTACAACCACGCCTGCCATTTTACGAAAGGATTAAAGATAGGGAAAAAATCTGTCTTTCAAAAGACCTGTAATTCCTACCAAGATGATACTATATTGTAACATTTCAATATCTATTGTGACTATTTGTTCTACTGCCACAGGGGGTTTCTATTAACTATAACCAAGCAATTTGTCTAGATTATGGCTTAAATATTTGCTATCAGAGCGTGTCAGGTAACCCATTTTAACTGTTTGAGATACCCAATGCAACAAGACAGTATATACTTCGCATACTGAATACTGCTAAGCAAAATAAATTTTATATATAAAAGTTTAGAAGAGAAATATATGCAAAACCAAAACTGCCTGAATACATGTCTGCTTTGCCAGGTTTCAGTTCGTTTTTTACAGGGGCATTGCTTATGCCAAAAACCATGGACCTACGACATAATGCTTATACAGAAGCTTGATACAGCTGTGCCAGCAAGCTTTGTAGAGGCAAAGTAAAACAACTCAAGGTTGATACAACAGCAAAAGTCTTAAAAGGTTGATGTAAACAAAAGAGGTTTTAGGACTCCTGGGAGGGCTAGAACATACCTTAGGTATATAGGTAACTGCTTACTTTGTCTCTGCCTGTTTTCGTTCACTTTCTAGGGTAAAGGGAGTTACTAATACCCTGTAGAAGTAAAATTACTCCTGTAAATTATAGATGCACTTAATAATGAAAATGTTAAAACCTATCTGATAATCTAGGAGCTCTTTCAGTCCTATGTCCTATTTTCATAAGAACACCTAAGTATTTAAATTGTAGTGATGGTCCACGGATGCAAACAGTAATTAGCATCTGCAGAATATTATTTTTGATGTAGTTTCCTGACATCTTTTCTCCCTGAGATGCATCCATTGGGATAGGGATCTATCAGCGGCAGTCATCAGATCAGCTATATCAAAATACTTTGAATGACACCTACTGTGTAGCTTTTCATATTTAACAAGTTACCCTAGGCTGCTGCTTCTTCAGCCGGTGGAGAAACAAACAATTCTAGGACATCGTTCACATGGCCTATTTTAGACAACTACTTAGGATAAAATGATTTGCAGTTGATGTACTGACTAAGATCTCTGCATCTCCATTTGGTCAGGTTCATTCTGCTTAGCAGAGCTATCTGTAAGGGACAGTGAGGGGAGGGAGCCAAGAAACTATAAACCAGTCAGTGTAAATTTGATTCCAAGACAGATAAGAGAATAAACATACCCATTTTAAGTAGTTAGAGAAAATCATCAGTAACAGCTAACATGTATAAGCAATGCCAAGCCAATCTCAGTCACTTTAATAACAGGCTAGAAGTCTTGTGGTAAGCAGATGCAGCAGGAGTTAACAGGACTTTTGACACTATCTTGCATGACACTCACGCAAGCAAGCCAGATAGCCTAGATGAAATGACTGCTAAAGGTCACAACAATATTCACAAGGAAGGCAGTAAGATTTCTTTATCTAGCTGGAAGGGTTTTAAAGAGGGTTCCACAGAAGCCTGTGTCCTATCTAATATCATTCAGTGTTTTTACTAATGACTTGATGAAGGAATAATGAATAACCCGATCGCATTTTCAAATGACTTCATGCTCAGAGATGCTGCTTTTTTAGGGATAGCCTTAGAACTTAAAATAATCTTAAGAATTGCTGTAATGCTTTGAAAAACAGGATGCGCTTTGATATGAGTAAGTAGTGCATGTTACGCAATAATCAAATGCAAAAATAAAATGGGAAAGGATTGGCTTGCATCAGTCATGCAAGGAAAAGACCTGAGAATGAAACCATGTATCTGACAACAATGTCAGATTCTTGGAAAAAAATCCCACTATCTGCAAATGTGTTATAGGTAAGACATGGAGAATCTTTTCTGCACATTCCCTGGTTAGGTGCCAACTGGGATACTGCATTCAGTTTTGGGCATTGAACTCAAGAGTGAACCAAGAGAGTCCAAAGAAATGCCACAACAATGATCCAGGAGTTCAGAAAACACAACCTGTAAAGAAGGACTTGAAAACCTCCCAGCTTCTTAGTCTAGGGAAAAAAAAAAAAAAGAACATCGAAGGAAAATATAACAGTCTCCAAATATAATGTGTTTTTGCAAGAAGGAAAGCAATAAACTATCTTCTGGGTCCACTGATTATGGGATGCAAAGTTATCTACTTAGCCTTTAGCAAGGAAGTCTTAGGTTGGACTTTGGGAGAACTTTCTGAATGTAACAACAGTGATGCACCAGAACGCTTTGCTGCAAAATACTGTAAAATCTCTGTGACAGGAGGTTTTTAGCAACAGGTTAAAAAAAAAAAACCATTTGTTGGGAATTGTTACATATAGTTGATTGTGCTGTGGTGGAAAATGAATTTTTAATGTCCTTTCCAGACTTTCTTTTGTTTCTATTTTTTTTTTCCTAATCTTTGGGAAAATATATTTAGTCTTAGTATGATAATTCAATGAAAAGTCTTTGTATGTATGTTTTGTCCAAAAGCCAGTTGACTAACAATCTAATACAAATGTAAATTTGCTTTGCCCTCCCTCCCCCTAAATAGCCTTAATTCTAAATTAGAAAAATTCTAAAGCAAATATTGTTTTGAGTAATAATAAAGATTACGTATTTGTCTTTGATGACTGGGTAGGAATAGAAAGAACAACCTAAAAAAAGAAATGCTGCTGCAAATCTCAAGTCTGTGTGGAACAGACCTATTCAAGCATTGCAACAAGAATGTTACCTGTGCTTTATTTAGAAATAGGCATTTCCAGGTAAATTCAAGGCTGCCTTTCTCAGAGCTTTTCCTGACTTTTCTGCTCCTCCTTTCCTTCTGATGAATGAATACTGATATGCCGGGGTGCCACCTGCACAGCTCATAGTTCAGCCGTAAAACTGAATGCCCTTCCAAGTACTTCAGGAGAAAAAAAAAAAAAAAAAGCTACATACGGTATAAAACCTAATGGATTGAAGAGCAACAAGAAGGAATTCCCATCTAAATGCAAATCAAGGCAAACCCATTTTGAATGCAAGAGTAAACTACAAATGGTAATTTTCCCACCATTTGCTAGTGCTCCTTACTACAATTACAGTTCTATCCAACTCAAGTAGTTAACAGCTCTTCTCCTGATGAGCTGTCAGTGAACAACTTAGAATTTTTCCAAATGTATGCTACAGATATGCTTATTCTCTTGCAATCTGTTTGTGCAAAATTAATTTAAAACACTTAACTGCTTATTTTTGGTTTAATTTAGTCTGGTTCATGAAGTGGAAAAAGACAGAAGTTATCGGAAAAAAAGATTTCATCTGCTGGTTAAATTGTAAAT